ATTATTTTCTACAAAAACTTTTAAAAGCGTCAAAGTTTAAAAAGTAATTGTGGTTGGCTGTAGTGCTTTGTAGGCTAGTTTGGTGGCTGGAGACACACACATCTGGAAAATGTCATTAAGTATTTGGAGTAACATTTTAATATTTTTGAAAAGTGCTAAAATTGTGTAATTAGTTATTGTCATTGCTGAAAATTATTTAGTAAGTTGGATGATAGGTGTCTGAATTTATGTGGAAAGCAGGAGCCAAAAAGCCTGTTAGTAGAACATTCTAACAATTAGGCTACTCTTTGGCATAAGCTGCTTTTAAATTGACTAATTTCTGTGTGTAAGCAGGCAGACACCCAGTAGTCTATTTTGGGGGGACTAGAGATTGGCAGGCACAAGCCATGTTTGGTTGGATTTCTCCTTCCCTCCTTCAAAGCAGGGCTGGATATAAGGGGGTGCTGAGGTTGGCTGCACCCCTCTAGAGTTTAGTTATGCCCCCCCAGGACCGGTGACATTAGTATTAGGAAGTGGAGGGGCCAAGGGGAAGCGCAGCCTCAACAATGCTGAGTTAGAATGGCTGTACAGTGCCCTTCCCCTATCCAGTGCACTGCATCATTCCTTTCCATGGTGCAGAAGACCCATCTTCACCAAGGAAATGGATGATTTGATCCAAGGTGGAGATTCCAAAGAATAAGGAAATTCTGCTTCCATCCAGACCACTGATGGGGGACTCTGATGTAATGAAATATGATGTAAAGGGGGGAACACTGATGTTATGGGGCAACTCTGTTGTAATGGATGGAGAGACTCTCATGTGAAGGGGGCTGATGTTAATGTAATGGGTGGACTGTGATGTGAACGTGGCTGAGTCTGATGTGATGAGAGGTCTCTGTTGTGAAGGAGGACTCCCCCATGTTGTGCAAACAAGAAGGTGACATTGCCATCCTGTACAGGTATCAATATCCTTCAGCCCAATAAATACCGTTCAGGACTGGGGTGCCTAGTGATCTTGCATGCCTTGACAGAAAAAAGATTGAGAAACGCTGGGGTTATACAGGCACTTAGAAACGCAGGGAACTAGCATTCCCGTTTAATCTCGCACCACCTATTCACTACCCAGAAGTAATGTCAGCAGTTATATCTGGGTTGTGACATATGGTACAGAAGCCCGTGGAGTGAACAGGGCATACTGGTTCCCTTCATCTCTTTCATACTCACACACAGCCAGTGCCAGCAAGGACAACTGGAGAGACAGAAAAACAGCAATAGCAAGCTGTATAGGATGAAACAAACGTGTGTTGAAAGTATGCCCCCCCTGACATTTTTTACTGCACCCCCAGACCAGTCAGGGTGGATCTGTACCGGCTTCAAAGTACTACACACACACACACACACACTGCATGTTATTTGAGCAATCATTGACCCTTGGGAGTCAAGCTGTAACTTTTGTATTCTTATAATTTTGGAGGTTGCTTTTATCAGACTTTTTTATAGTCATTTTTATTAATTAATAAAACATGGTACAGTTATGCACATCATTCAGAATGGTTGTGACACATAAATATTGTATGTAACAGCGACATATGAGGGCAGGATTCAAAAATTTAGTTAAAGAGATTACAAACTGTGTACATAAAACAAAACTATGCAAAAAAACCTCAAAATAGTGTGCAGTTGTGGAGATGTTCTTAGTATACAGTAAAGATTGACAAAGAGAGAAACAGCCTTCTTACTTCTACATGGATGCCTTTATGGTCTCACAGAACCCATACGACAGAAAAATCGATGGTATAAATGGTGTGGTCAATCCAATTAGGGCAAGAAGGGTGCTGAGACATTATTGAAACATGATACCCCATCCCCCCAAATCTTGTTAAATTTAGCAGGTCAACCTCTGGTCTCATATCTTATTCTACAGAGAAAGGGGGCAGTGTTCACCAGTTTTTTCTAGGAATTAATATCAAAGGGTGCTGTGGAAACCCAATGTAATACTATATTCTTCCCAGCATAAAATGAAAGCAATCCTAGAAAGGTCTTTTGAGCACATCCAAAATCCATATCACCAAATACTCAGAATAGCAATCACTTTAGGTTACAAATATTGGGGATTTCAAAGTTCTGCAAAATACATTCTGTAATCTGACATCAAAATGGTCTAACCATAGGCAGTTCCAGTTTTTTCGTATCCTCATCAGCTCCCTCAGACTTTGGGCAAAGGAATGATGACCCTTTTCCCCATTTTGAACCGTCACTCTGATGACCCTATAAAAATACTATAATTGGATGAGTTTGTCTGTAGCAGAGATGGCTATGGAATAACGAGAAGCATAAACCTCATCCAAATTCTGCTTATTCATATTCAGAATGTCTCTGTCCCATTGTGCCTGAAAGCCTAGAGGGTTTTCCTTGTAATAAAGTACCAACCAATCAAGAAATCAATTTTGAGTGAGATGACTTTGTAGAAGTTCTTTTTCTAAGATAATGCTTGAAAAACTATGTCTTGAAAACCAAACTAGGCCCCTCTGCAGCATGCTTTTGTGGAAGGTATTGCAGATGTTATGTAGGAGGGAGTGCTAACTCCTGCTGTAGCCTCTTATAGGCCTTTACTGAAAATCTACTTCGTAGGCTTGAGTAAAGATCCTTTTTTAAAATGGGACTGTGGGTGTCTATTCTAGTATCCTTTATATGCCTTACCACCTGATCCTTTATTCTCCTGTCAATGAGATCTTCCCTTAGTGGGTCTTCTTTTTGTACTTTGTCCCTTTGGACCCTAGCAACAGATTCTGGGTCTCCCATGTTAATTCCCCCTCCTGGGAAACCAGGATACAATGTTATTCTTGTGCACAACAACATTTACCAATATGCTTAACATCACATACTGGTCAACCTATGGAGTACATTTGATCCCTGTCATTTTTATTTGTAATATTGGCAATTTTTGTGTCTTTGTCACTAGTTTGTCCTTTCTTGCAACAGTCTGTCACCTGTCTTTCTGTCCCTGCTGTACAAAACTATGCAAAATCTTAAAAAAAAAAAGAAAATTAGACCGTGGGCAACAGAAATATAAGATGCAGTCTGCCAATAGCATTAACAGAACAGTCTTTGTTTTTTGGAGTCCCCCTCTGTAACATAGTTTTATAATCTGTTGATCCTCTCAGTATGTCTGCTATTTTTCCACTTCCTTAATGCCTTGTTCATACCATACGTGCAGAAAAACTGATGGAACTGACGTGTAGATTTCACTTGCATGTCATCATCAGTTTAGATCAGTTTTCATGCGTGCTTCAATGAGTTTTATACATGTTGCATATTCCTGTGCAGAACAAATCTGCACGTGATACTAGTATTGTGGTGTGAGCAGGGCACATACAGAACAATTGATTTCTTTGTGTCCTTGCAGAATGCATGTAGAAAAACTGATGTCTCTGCACCATGGTGTGAACGAGCCCTTTAAGTGGTTGTAAACTCTTATACATACCCAGTGAAGTGACTGGCCTCAGATACACAGAGATGAAACAAATCCTTCTATGTAAGTTGTACCTGTCTATCTACAGCCGTCTGTCCCCTACATCCATTCAAAGTGCAGAATTTACACAGGATCTCACAGCTCTGAAAAGCAGGGGGGTGGGGAGCTGAAGTTACATCAGTGAGGAGAGCTCTGAGAGTTGATTGGTGGGAAAGGACCCCCCCCCCCCCCTCCACACAGCACACAGGAACAGAGCTGAGGCGGTCAATCACAGGCTGCGCCTTCTCCTGTCACCATTTTTCTCTTGGTATCAGGAAAACTCATCAGAAGTGATTCCTGCTGATAGCAGAGGAACAAAGCAGTGGACAGTGCTCTGGATTGAGACAAGTACACACTATAGAGTGATATGCTTTGTTCATATTTCATGTCTGCGGTTTACAACCACTTTAACAGACCAAGCTACCCAGCAAAAATGGCAGCTAGAAGGTTCTTCTAGGTTCTGCACCAGGAAACTGCCATGTTGCATTCTGAACACATGGGTTTGGCCACTTTGTGCTTTGAATTTTCTGAATGAATGCATAAGGGGTTATTTACTAAGACTGGAGAGTGCGAAATCTGGAATAGCTTTGCATATAAACCAATCAGGTACCAGGTTTTATTAATGCTTAATTGAACAAGCTGAAGTTAGAAGCTGATTGGCTACCATGCACAGCTGCATCAGATTTTGAGTGCACCAGTTTTAGTAAATCTCCTCCAAAGCATTCTTTGATTGGACGAGGTGGGGAGGTAGGGTGAGAGGCAACCTCCTGTGTTCACAATGCAGCAGGCCAGCCACTCAGTATGGGACTCAGAAGCAAGTGGAGATCACTAGATTAGCGGTGTCTACATCAGTGATTTCTGGCTTCCAGGTGCATAGGCCAAATGTGGTATCTACATAGTTACATTTGTTCAAGCTGGACCTATGTAACTATTTATAAAATATACTGTACATACCTGGAACTCTCCTTTAAAGTGATTCTAAAGGCTTACCTTTATTTTTTTAATTAACAAATGTGTCTATACTTACCTGTTGTGTGCAGTGGTTTTGCACAGCAGTTTTGAACAGCCCGGATCCTCCTCTACTCGATTCCCCCGCTGGCACTCCTGGCCCCTCCCTTCTGTTGTGTGCCCCCACAGCAAGCAGCTTGCTATGGGGGCACCCGCTGCTCTGTGTGTCCATTCACACACGGAGCCTTGGTTCGGCCCTGCCCCCTCTCTCTTCTCATTGGCTCACTGGCTGTGATTGACAGCAGTGGGAGCCAGTGGCGCCCGCTGCTGTCTCAGCCAAGGAGGAGAGGGATAGCCGAGACTCCAGTGCAAATCGCTGGATCGAGAGGGGGTTTGCTGCACAGAGAAGGTTTTTTATCTTCTTGCTTAGAATGCTTGAAGGTAAAAAAAAACCTTGAGCCTTTAGAAAACCACTTCAAGAGTTGCTCCAGCTACTTATTAATTAGAACATTAGATATGTTTTGACTGAATAGCAATGTTCATAATTTTGTTTTTTTCTTTCCAGTCAACCATTGCTACCATGCCGATCATTCTGTGAGGCGGCACAAGATGGCTGTGGTCCAGTGCTAGACATGGTGAATTCTTCCTGGCCGGAGTTCCTAAGATGTTCCCAGTTCCAGAACAAAACAGAAAATAGCAACCTGAGCCGTGTGTGCTTTTCCCCGCAGCATGAGAAAGGACGGCAGGGTGAGTGCAGAACTAGTTCCAAGCATGCCTTTGCTGTTTACATAGGAAAATTGTGATATATGATATGATGTAATATGAATCAAGAGCTAGATTCATTACATTACTGCTAAATGTGTATTTTACAACAAAATACGTTTGTGTACAGTGAAGATTATTTGTATATACACAAAATTAAATAAAAATCTCCAAGCGTATATAAAATACTAGGGGTTTATGAATTTAGAAATGTTCTGCTAGTTATGTATTCTTTAGGACAGCCATTATGTCAATCTATCAGATCTTGCTAACAGAACATGCAAGTAGAGTAATGCTCCTTCATTGTACTGTTTGTTCAGGAGGTAGCCTTGGGTTCTTGATACAGCCTTATTATCTAAATGCTTCTGAGGAAAGTAAGGTCACTAACCTGGCTATGTTATCTGATTGGAGTAGTTAATCTAAAAGGTGCGCAAAACCAATATCTCTGTAGCGATCAATACAACATTTGTGACCAAAAAAATCATCACATAGAGGACTTGTTTTCTATGTGATGAATAAAAAAATTATTTTAAAAAAATGTTGTTAATCGTAAAAAAAGGAAGTTACACCCAAGTCTTAAAATCCCCCCCCCCCCCAAAAAAAAAATGTTTTAAGGCCCCCCTTGCCACCATATATATGCACGTATAAACATGAACGCAGGCGCCTTATGCATGAAAACTTTTATTGCCATGTTACATATTGCCGTGCACACTTGAATGAGAGCGATATTTCTACTGCTTTCTGTTTCTGTGTCTGTTTTGAGAAAGTATATATTGTTTTGGGGGTTTATGCACTATTCAGGCCTAAAATTATTTTTTTTAAACGTGCAAAAAATGCAAAAATGGCTCTGGCAGCGAAAAAAGGTTAATAACAGTTCATTTAATTTTTTTACACGTAATTTTGTATTGATCACTACAAAGATATTGGTTTTGTGCACCTTATAGATTAATTATTTTTTATAATTATTTTGTGTCTGGAACATAGGTTGTTACATTACCTCTTTTCTTTTGGGTTTCTGTGTTTATATGTCTGATGTGAGTTCCTGAATCAGAAGACTGTCAGGATTACACATGTTAGTACCAGCTGCAGAGTACACCACAGTAAAACAACACAGACTACTGGCCACACTGCAGTCTTTGACTGGACAGTGAAGGACTAGCAGCAGACTAGTTAGATCGTTCCTCTCTGCTCTTCTGTAAGCATGCTGACAATGTTAGACTGAAAGCTCTATTCAAAGCAACAGGCTCAGAGTGCTGATCCTGCTTCTTTCCAAATGCTTTTAAACAGACTAAAATCAAGACAGGTATGGACACTAGCTATATGAGAAATATGCATTATATTAATAATTATAATGTATTATATGTATACTATTAATAATTATATAATATACCTATACATATGAATTATTAATCATTTTAACAAATACATCACTGGATTAGAATTTGGTCTTCACATCTGCCTGGAGCTTGGCTTTATTTTTGCCATGATTTAATCATACAAAACATTATTTTAGTTTTAAATAGAGTAGGGATAGATGAAATCCCCCGATGTCTGTGTTCTACTAGCTGGATTTCCCTTAATTTTTTTTACCCAGAAATATAATAAGAAGTGATCATATATCCTTACCTCCTGATCCAGTGACAATATAAATGTTTGAGTGTCTCATTACATTTTGTCTCAGTGACAATGGTCAGCAAGAGAAACAGAGAGGGTAAACATTCCAATGGGAACATAAGCAGCAGTAAAAAACATAACAGGAATTATTAATAAATGAACTTCAAAGGTAATACAGAGTAAAATGATTTCATTCCTCAGTCTGAATTTTTTTAATTTCAGTTGAATCACTTTTAATTGTTTTTTGTATTGCCATTAGATAACAAAAAAAGGTAATTTATCATTCACGCTGGAATTACCTATGGCATTTGCTTTACAAAAATGTATTTCTGATAGTAAACGATGGCAATTCATTATTCTTTTTTTGTTATATGTGTTTCAACACGAGTCATGAGTGTAAAACTATTCCCAGGTGCATAAGAGTTACTATTTCTTTATTTGCAACTTGTTTTATATAAATTTGGTCATTTGGGTAATTATTATTATATAGTATTTATATAGCGCCAAATGGTTTGCTGAGCGCTGTACAAAATAGTGGGGGACAGTACATGAGACAATACAGTAACAAAACAATATACGAGGGGTTCGAAGGCCCTGCTCTTTTCGAGCTTACAATCTAGGAGGGAGGGGATAGTGGTACAGGAGGAAGTGGCTGTGGGGGATGGAGTGGTAGGAGGAGTGGAGGAGATCGGCTGTTAGGTGAGGGTGGGGTAGGCTTCCCTGAAGAGATGGGTTCTCAGGGTGTGCCTAAAGGTGACGAGAGTAGGTGACAGTCTGATGGATTGGGGTAGTGAGTTCCAGAGGATGGGGAAAGTCCTGCAGTCTGACGTGGGAGGAGGAGACCAGGGAGCTAGAAAGTAGGAGGTCTTGTGAGGAGCGAAGAGTACGGGTTGGGTGGTATTTGGGTATCAGGTCGGTGAGGTAGTTTGGGGCAGTGTTATGAATGGCTTTGTACGTCAATGTTAGTAGTTTGAATTTAATGCGTTGGGCAATTGGAAGCCAATGGAGGGAATGGCAGAGGGGGGTGGCAGATGCGGAGCGGTTGGTAAGGTGGATGAGTCTGGCCGCTGAGTTCAGGATAGACTGAAGCGGGGATAGTCTGTGATAAGGTAGGCTGGTGAGGAGTAGTCAAGTCGTGAGATAATAAGGGAGTGAATGAGTTGTTTAGTAGTGTCTGGGGTTAGGAACGTATGTATCTTGGAGATGTTGCGGAAGTGGAGCCTGCATGAGTTTGCCAGCGATTGAACATGGGGTTGGAAGGATAGATCTGAGTCTAGAGTGACGCCTAGGACTTTGGCTTCCGGGGTGGGACTGATGGTGGCGTTGGTCGTGATGGAGAGGGTGGGGGGGGGGGGGGCGCGGGCTGGGGTTGAAAATTAGGAGCTCGGTTTTGGAAAGGTTTAATTTGAGGAAGTGGAGCGACATCCAGTCTGATATGTCGTTCAGTAGGCGGGTCATACGGGCGGAGACTGAAGGGGTGAGAGGGGGGTGGAGAGGTAGATTTGCGTGTCGTTTGTGTAGAGGTGGTAGTTGAAGCAGTGGAAGTGTATCAGTTGGCCAAGGGAGGAGGTGTAGATGGAGAAGAGAAGGGGCCCAAGGACAGAACCTTGGGGGACCACAACAGAGAGGGGGAGGTGGCAGCGTTATAGGTAATGCTGAAGGAGCGTTGGGATAAATAGGAGGAGAGCCAGGAGAGAGCGGAGTCTCTGATGCCACGGGAGTATAGTTTATTAAGAAGGAGGGGGGGTAGTCAACTGTGTCGAAGGCCGAGGAGTAGGAGGACTGAGTAGTGGCCATTAGCTTTGGCGGTTAGCAGGTCGTTAGTGATTTTGAGTAGGACGGTTTTCGGTGGAGTGTAGGGGACGGAAGCCAGACTGTAGTGGATCGAGGAGGTTGTTGTCATTGAGGTGGGAGCTTAGGCGATTGTAGACTAAGCGCTCAAGGAGCTTGGATGTAAATGGCAGCAGGGAGATGGGTCTAAGGTTGCTCAGGTCGGTGGGGTCCAGGGAGGGTTTTTTGAGTATGGGGGTGACGTGCGCGTACTTTAGCAGGCAGAGGAATGCGCCAGTAGAGAGGGAGAGATTGAAGATGTGGGTGAGGGAGCGTAGGATGGAGGAGGAGGGTGACCAGAGGAGTTGTGTGGGGACAGGGTCAGGGGGGCAAGTGGTGAGGCGGGCTTCCGGGAAGACCTTAGTGACCTCTTCAGTGGTAGCAAGGCTGAAGGAGTGGAGTCCTGCAGTTGGGGAGGTTTTAGTGTGCGGGATGTTAGGTGTCGTGGGGGTCAGGGCAGTTGCGAGGTCAGAGGAGGGGAGAGTTGAGGGGTTATCGTGGGAGGGAGGCTAGGTGGGGAGGTAGATTGAGCATTGGTGATGTCCTTACGGATTGCGTTGATCTTGTTTTTGAAGTGGTTGGCAATCTCGTGGGCGGTGAGTGAGGTACTGGGTGGAGGTGGGGGGGAGAGTAGGGAGTTGAAAGTGGAGAAGAGCTGGCGAGGACAGGTGGAGAGGGTATTGATGAGGATTATGAAGTAGGCTTGTTTGGCGTCATGGAGGGAGGAGGTGTAGGTGAGGAAGGCGGATTTGTAGAGGGTGAACGCTTGAGGGGATCTGGTTTTGCGTCATAATCGCTCCAGCACGCGACTGTGGCGTTTAAGATTTTTGGTGTGGTCGTTCTGCCATGGTTGAAGTGGTTGGGGTCTAATGCTGCGTGTGGTTAGGGGTGCTAAGGAGTCTAAGGCAGCTGACAGTGAGTTGTTATACACAGTAGTGGCCAAGTCACGGCAGGATAGTGGAAGGATACTGTCGTAAAGACTAGAAATAATGACTGGAAATTATTAGAATAAATATTTCAACCATAAAAATTTCTAATAGGCTTTACATAAACACAATCTTAGGGAAATTCTTATTCAGTTTTCATTTAAACATACTCATAAGGTGAGTTTACCAAACACAGATGGAGTATTTGTTGAGTCCAATCTATTTAGGGGTCTCCAGGCTTCCAACAGAAATAATTCATCCTAGGAATTTTGGTTCTGTAATCATTTGCGTAAGGTTGTCGGTCCAATCCTAATTTCTATTGTGGGTTGCTTCTAAATTTTAGCATTAGACAAATTATAGGACCCAGTTTTTGGTGGAAATATTGTTACAATGCATTGAGAGTTGTGGTTTTTCGAGGTCCATACCACTCCAACTACTCTATGGTGGACTGGTAATTTTGCATACCCTTGCACTGCTGCTACTGCTGTATTGGTTGCCTTTGTCTCTGTTGGGGAGATTTATGATCTCTTTATGTCCCAGTGGCAATTTTACTGGGACAAATTGTGAGGAGAAATATGAAAATTGCCAGTTATCACCAGAAAAGGTGAAAGAGGA